TGGTGAGATTTGAACAGACGAACTGCAGAACTGCAGTCAGCTGAAGTAGCCTGCAGTGCTGCATTTAACCACTGCACCACCTTCGGTGATCACCCAGTCTTAGGTATCTTGCGCCTGGAGGTGATGCCCGCTTCCTATTTATCATCAGTTGCTAATAAGAAACTGTGGCTTATCTTGGAGAGGGCTAACTTAAGCTTCTCAAATCAATTTATGACCTTTAGGACTGTTAAGGAGTTCGACACACATCTCTGTCAAAACCCTGAACAAATTAGGAGAAACCTTCAGCTTTGGTTTTTCTTGGTTAACCCGTTGTTGGTTTTTAAGCCTTTTTCTCCTACTTGTTTCTACGATGGCTTGTTTCTTTTGAAAAACACGTGCCGAAAAGTGTGTGGATTCATGTGCACTTCTACCACTGTGAACAGTTTTCTGTAGCAGACATACTTTGCATACTTTGTGTGCATGCTTGAACCATGTTGCAAGGAGTTTGAACCAGAGGTGGTATTCAGCCAGTTCTGACAGGTCCTGGAGAACCGGTAGTGGAAATCTTGAGTAGTTCGGAGAACTGGCAAATAGGCTGGCCTCGCCCCACACTGCCTCCCAGCTGATCTTCTTTTATTGCCCGAATAGGAGAACGGAGCTGGAAAGCAGGTTAGTTGGGTGGGGAGGGAATGGGGATTTTGCAGTATCCTTCCCCTGCCATGCCCACAAAGCCACGACCACAGAACCGGTAGTAAAAAAAATTGAATCCCACTACTGGTTTGAATGTGTAGTAGCCTATTGTGTGGGGATAGTTGTTTTCTCAGTAGCTGGCAAACCACGCTGAGGAATGCAACGTCAGCACAATGATCCTTAATGACCAACCCTTAATAAGTGTGAGACGTGAGATTTGGCACGTAGGCACATCACATTGTTTGCAGCAGGACCCATGAGCTGTCCATTAACTGTCCACATTGATAACATAATCATGAGCTTTGTCTAGCCAATCATTACAAGTGTACTTTGATCAATGAATCAGCTTCTGCCGCGGAGACAGTGTATGACAATAAAAAGGGAGCTCCCACGAGCTGTTCGGGGTGCCTTCCCATTAACCTTCTTCTTCCCTGTGCGTTTTTCTTCACCACAACATTGTTGAAGGAGTGGAAAAGGTGGATTTGGCTTTTTAACTTGACCTCTGTAGGATAATTATAACAGGGAATGGAGCCCCTTCTCCCCCCCCCCCAAAGAGAAGCCCTGGTCCCTTGGGTAGTGCTCAGTTCCTAGGATAATTTTGTCTGATCAGTCCCTGCCTTCTCCATTAAGACCCATCTAGTGCTTAAAAGGGCTCTCTAATTGGAACCAAGCTCATTGCTCTCTTTTTGACCTTATCACTGATCAGCAGCTGATTAGAACTACTCGGCTGAGGAAAGCTCCTGGTTTTTGTTTTTGTTTTGTTTTTCAGCTGAACTTAAGAGGAAGAAGGTGACAGGCTGGAAGCAGCACTCTGAGGTCATCGCTTGGCAAACACATCTGGGAAGTGCAGCTTTTGCCTCGGGGTTTGCAACCGTTCCATAACACATGACCGAGAGAAGGCAAGGTAAAACAGCTCCTGTCCCAAGCCTCCATTTTTTCCTGTCGGTTTCCTCACGGGGAACCTTTTGCGCTTCCTATTAGGGAAGTTTTTTTGAAAGAAAAAAAAGTATGGGAGAGAAATGAACTTCTCTTTCTGTGCAGTGACCAAATGAATCAGCTTTCAACCCCGTGGGTAGATAATGACTCCAATGTTCCTCTTTCTCATCCACCCCAGAGTTTCAACCATAGACAGGTACCAGCCACAGATATTTTAAGATATTTTAACTCCCAGAGGAGTTTTATGAGGTTGATTTATTCCGAGATCAGTCTTCTCGCTTGTCCCTGGAGGTCTGGAAAAAACCCTATAGCACAGTGTTTCTCAACCTTGGCGACTTTAAGTCCTGTGTACTCCAACTCCCAGAATCCCCCAGCCAGATGTGCTGGCTGGGGGATTCTGGGAGT